CGGTTCAGAAACATTGGTGTAAGATTGAGCCACGTGGGGGAAAAAAACCCTTACCCAAATTTAACATGTCATGTGAAGCTAAGATTTGAATATTGCTAGAGGTGGTTGTACAAGAGCTAAAGCCAGCTGGGTGACTTTGGGCCCGTCCCTTTCTCTCAGCCCAACAAACCTCACAGGGTTGTTGTTGTGGGGAAAATAGGAGGAGGAAGGAGTACGAGCTATGCTCGCCACCTTATTTATAAAAATAATAAAGGCGGGATAAAAAAAATCTAAAAAAAAAAAGCTTTACAAGAGCCACAGGGTGCAACGGATAGGAGTGTCCGCGACATGCGGTCAAAAGAGTCAAGTTGCTGACCACGGTGGTGGAAACAAAACTCTGCTTGTTTTTCAAGTGTGCTGCGCATAAAAACCAAGCAAAGCTTCAACTGCACCATTGCAATGGGCACAGCATCCGTGATGCTTTGGAATCAGAGAGATTTGACCTGGAAATCAGAATGTCAGTAAAGAAAAGTGACGGGAAGAAGGTTGCCCCAGAGAAAGTTCTATGGCAGTTAAGTTTTAGCCAGTAGCCTCTGAAGTTTGGCTGTGGGCAGGAATATGAACTGAGATAAGGTTCAGAAGCCAGAAGCCTAGGTTGGGCTCGGGCAGAAGAAAAAAATGGAACCCGCCTCTAGAAGGGAATACAGATCAGATGAAAAGATTTTATTCTGGATTCAGGTGTGATGTCTTCTTGGAGTTGAGCTGAACGCCCGATGACTTCATAAATCTAATATAATAAAATAAAAAGCATCTCCTGGTGGTCTCCCATCCAAGTACTGGCTTTAGTCAGCCCTGCTTAGCCGTTTGAGATCAGTCAGGAACAGCTAGGTGTCTTGTTTTGGAGTAAGACATGTGGGGTGGGAAAATCCTGATGCTTTGCTTTTACTGAAAGAAAACAGGCAAAAATATTTTGCTGCTAAAACATGTTACTTTATCCAATATAGATGGTACCCCTGAAGACCCTGATGTAATTTTTAGACTGACTGAAGTAAGAATAAAAGGACGAAGAGTTAATAAAAAAGGGTCATGGAACCAGCACAGGGAGTTATCATCGAAAGAGATTAATGAATTAGTCAATTAGAGAGGCACACTTCCTATCTTGGCCTACCATGGGTTTTCTGATTGTAATGAATTTGATTATTACAAATAATGAAAGCAGAGTCAAAAAAGTCAAGATGGAGGCTGTGCATCAAAGCCCCGCCCCGGTTATGTGTATCATGCACAATGCATGTGAAAAAGGGGTGGGAGTTTGATCGGGTAGCCCTCCATCTTGAATTTTTTAACCCCCCGGATACCCCTGAATGAAAGTCTCTATAATTAAAAACAACAACCCAAAACTAGAATTGCATTTCCACATCTCATTTTTACCATGTTTTCCCAATTTTAAAAGTCAGTTGCTTTCACCACCCATCTTCCTTGTCTCTTTTGACAAACCCACTGTTTATGTTAGACTTAGAAAAAGAAGGATTTCCCCCCCAAAGAACTCTGTGATTACTTACAGTTTGCTATTTAATATATTTATGATGCTGCTCCTTTCTGCCCCTCAAGGTAGCCTTGTATAATACCATAAACCTAAGTTCAAAAATCCACAGATTGATCACAAAAGACAGAAACGGAGTAAAATTAAAGAAAAGCCTATAAACTGCTAAAACTCACCATGAAACCCTGATGGCTTGCAGTAGGTCTGGGGCCACAGCTCAAGAAACAATTCTTTATTTTCCACGAGAATGTCACATTTCTTTTCCAATTAATAAAGATCTTGCCCCACAAAGACCTTGATACTGAATCTAAGTGCCAAAAGCTTCAATTAAACCTGCCTGTTGCCCTGCCGGTATGTGAGATCTCCATCTTATCCTGTTGCTTTGTAATCCCAGATTTTGAAAGGAGGCTGTGAATTCTTAATGCCTTCAGCCTTCAGATCTTGAGGAGCATTGTGGAAATCAGTGAGACAGCTGGTGGGGGGGGTGTGGGGGTGTGCCCAAACAGGATGGTAACCGAAGCCCCATTCATTTCCATGGGGCTCTGCTCTGGCTAATTGCATCTGAATGAAACTTGTGACTACGATTAAGGAATGCCATTGCAAACGTTGCAATGTGTGTTTCAGAAATTTGATTGCAAATATAGTTTGTTTGAATAAGCCTGAGAAGACAGCTGAGTTTTTTGACACACACACATCCCGATAGGTCCACCCTAATTACACTAGAGTTTCTTATTCCTTTATATATTTTATTGAAACAGAAATGCACGTATACATAAATTATAAATCATATAATAGGTGGGTGGAGGTTGTGCGGATCTAAATTCACAGGGAAACTCTTCAGTTTTTTTCTGTACATGGCGAGTCAGCTTGGTTTCAGAGTCTTTAGCCCCAAGGTTACCCATAGAATGACCCAAATCTTAAACTTAGTTTTTACTTTCCAGGCAGACAGGAAACAACAGACTGCAGAAAGCCTCCAACACCCGATCTGTGATCGTCTGAGGAGGTATGTTTTCTCCACAATTTCTTTTTAGAGTATTAAAAGCAAAATGCTGATCGCTTCTGGCTCATGGCAAACTTAATGCTTCCTTAAGAAAATGTGATTTATGAAACCCTGCTGAGAATGAAAAGGAAAATTTTCCTGCATACAGGTAGTCCTCGCTTAACAACTATTTGTTTAGTGACTGTTCAAAGTTACAACAGTGCTGAGCAAAGGGACTTACAACCGGTCCTTGCACTTACAACCATTGCAGCACCCCCACAGTCACGCCATTGCAATCTGGGAGCTTGGCAACCAGCTTGCACTTACAACAGTTGTAGTGTCCCGAGGTCACATGATTGCTATTTGCGACCTTCCCAGTCAGCTTCCGGCAAGCAAAATGAATGGGGAATCGCATGATTCACTTAACGGCCACAGTGATTCGCTTAATGACCATTGCAAAAAAGGTCATAAAATCAGGTGCGACTTGCTTAACAACCACCCCACTTAACGATGTCCCTATTGTGGTCATCAGGTGAGGACTACCCATATGTGTTTAAGAAAGCCAGCTCATTGGAGAGAGGAGGGGGTCTGTGTCTTGACCCTTATTCTGTTTTCTGCTATCTTTACCAATTTATTTTGGTATTTAAGCAGGCCCTCCTGCTCCTATGTTTTTCCTGAAGCTTGAAACAAAATCAAACGATGGAAGTTTGGAGTTAAATATTTATCAGAATTTCTCTGATAGGAACTTTGGTTAAAGGTTTCAGATGGATGGACTTCAACTCCCAGAATTCCCTAGCCAACAATGGTGGGTTGGGGGATTTTGGGGGTTGTGTGCCAAAAAGTTTAAAGGGGGCAAAATTGGGAAAA